CGCGTCGTGGAGGAGGTCAAATATCGGGTACGTTGCGTTGCTTTCCACTTGACAGCTCGCTCTCCCTCCATGAGAGCCAGCCTATAGCGTCATAGGTGTCTACCTAGGTTTATAAGCCCGCTAAGCACGTTTTAAGCGATACCTTTAAGTCTAGTTGTTTCGTCTAAAGATATTGATTTTACTAATTACCGTTTTGAGCCCTTAAAATCCCGAATAGAGTTTACGTTTCTACATTACGCCAACTTTGAAGTATATATTTTTTTCAGTTCCACTCCACAGATGGCCGCGAATTCACCATGGACAGGGCGGCAGCCCACCTTTCTGGATACATCATGCAGATGGTACAGGTAAATATTTAAAACTGTATATTTCCTTTTGCGTTTAAATAGCATACCTAAAGTTTTGAAGTTTAAGTCGACTCAAAAGTGATGGTTTTGTGGGACTTCCATATTCCAATTTTTTTCAGGATTTGGGCATCCAAGACGACGAGGCAATCCTGAATATGGAGCCGATCGTGCTCGACGACGTCTACGGCGCTGAGCTCAAATTGGTAAGTCTTTGCGAGCAGCCTTCGTTTTTATTTTTACTACAATTTTGAAAGAGATGGCAGTGGCCTTGACTTGGCGTTGGTAGCTTAAGACACACTTTGCTTCACCCTAAGCTTAAGTTAGCATTAAAAATGTCTAAGTAGGCTTGCCTTATCTTAAAAACCTTTTTTGGGGCAAGACGCCGTGGCTAACTTGGATATATTTTCGTCAAAAAAATTTCCTAGGCCTAAAAAAAGCTTCTTAAAGTACCACACTGTTTTTCAGATCGTAGAATGGTGTGAGAAGCACAAGACGATGCCGCCGTGGGAGGAGGACAAGTGGTGGTTGAACGAGCGGGATGAGGGGATGAAGAAGTGGGAGAGGGACTACATGGAAGATCTGACTTCCGCGCAGCTATGCGACTTGATGACGGTAGGTACTCAGAAAAACAGCAAAACTCAAATTTATCACGTTTTAATCAACAAGCGCCTATTTAAATGCAGTATAGGTAAAAAAAGTCAATTAAATCCCACCAACTAATGACTCATTTCAGGCGGCAGAGATTTTGGACATCAAGTGCCTTCTCGACCGATGCGGCGAGTATGTAGCCGGGATGATCAAGGGCAAGACGGTGGAGGAGATCCAAGAAATTTGGAAGCTTGGGAACGACTTCGCCACGCCGGAGGAAGAGGAGCAGGCGAGGTTAGCTTTTTTCCGTTTTACTTATTTAAATAATTTATTAAAATAGCCGTAAAAAATAGTTCCATCCTCATTCTTTTCAGTTGAAATTGTTCCGTTCTCCTACTTACCTAGGTCCAAAAGTTATATAATCGCGGTGCTTTCGAACTATTTTTTCTCACATAAATGCCAGTAACGTAATAGTAAGCATTCAATCACGTTTTTGCGCAAATTTAACTATAATTTATATTGAAAAGCTATCTAAAAAAACTTTAAAAATTCCTAAAATGCAGAAATCTCGTCCCCGCCACCGGAACCAAACCCGTTTTTTTTTCAGGAAAGACATCGTTTCGTTCCCACAGCTGTTGATCAAGCCGAGAAGCTCACTGCTTTGAGCCGATCCTATTTGAATTCAACGTCGAACTCGTTGAAGTTGATGCTCACCCCGATTACGATGCTGATCTAACCAATCTCTAGTCTGTCTATCTCTCCGATGTGTTTCCACCTTAATCCTATATACATAGAAACCCGAGATTGCCAAGCTACACCCTCGAAGTTGTTTCTTCTGCCGATGTCTTTTAGTTCATTCGTGTAGTCGTGTCCGGTTGGGAATGCGATAAATGTTGTGCAGTCACAAATTTAATGTCGCGCATCAACATGTTAAGGCAACAAAGTGAGAGAGAGCGAGAGGGCTGAAGCTGCAGCCTTCCTGTAGCTGTAAAGACATCGAAAAACCATAATGGATCGAAAAAGTTGCAAAAAGCCTACGACACTCGGGATTCCCAAGCCGTCTCCGATCCAAGTACTAACCGAGCCCAACGTTGCTTAACTTGGCAGATCGGACGGGATGCCGTGCTTTCAACGTGGTATGGTCGTAGGCGAAAGGGGGACGGGGAGTGAGGGTGAAGTGTTAGCGGTCCGTAAGAGACTGAGACAGAGGAGAGGTCTCAGACGACAGAGGATCTAGGTCGTGGAGGTATCAGACGAGCAGATGCTCGCTCTTTGGAGGGTTGCCCTGTGGCAGACTGCTATCTACTAACTGGATAGGACAGAAAAGCAGTCACCCCACCACAGCTTCGGTTTAATTACCCAAGTTTGAGGTTAGCATTAACCCCGAGACCTCCTCAAAAGAGTGTTTCGAACAAATTTTGGAACGCATTCCCCCACAGGGAGTGCACAAAGAAACGTTAGTACGGCTCTTCTCTCGCAGCCGAGAGAGAGAGAGAGAGAGAGAGAGAGAGAGAGAGAGAGAGAAAGAGTTCCAGTTCTCCCATTTCCGTATTATAGAGAGGCTAAGCGTTGGGAATCAAGATAAGAAAAAATAGGAAGAAAATAGATCTTTCGGGTAGTCGTGTCCGGTTGCGAATCCGATAAATGTTGTACAGTCACAAAGTTGAGCCGTCGATCACGAATAGGTTAACGCAATAGATAGGAATGGAGAGTGCGAGATATTGAGAGAGAGAGAGAGAGAGAGAGAGAGAGAGAGAGATAGGGAGATCCAACCCTACGACTTCGGTATTAGCAGGGTCCCCGCTACCGCTCGGGACCCCTCACTCGAAAATTGGAAAGTACACGATCCCTTATTGGGGGATGGTGTTGTGGTTCAGCCTGACCGGGGAGTGCAATGGCCGGGCCTCATCACAGAATCTCCTCCTTCATGATCGAGGATCATCACTTCCAGGTAGGTTAGCCACATTTGGGTACTGTAGCTAGTCAACCAAAATAGTGGGCCAGGCGGGGAAAGTTTGCGGGACCGGAATTGAGATTTAGAGGTTGCATGCAAATTTAGATTCAGGGGTTTATGTTTTTGGTTTTGGTCGCTGTTTCGCTGGAATCCGTCTGCTCGTCCCACTAGGCCAGCCTTGCACAAGCAAAGATTAAACATCAGACTGCGACAAGAACTGACTGCGACTGCGACCAGACTAGAATAATGTATGTTTTTCAATCCCTTGCAAATCATGGTGAGAGAGAGTGAGCGAGAGAGAGAGAGAGAGAGAGAGAGAGAGAGAAAGTCGCGATTAACTCCAAATTTCGCTATGCACCAATCTTGTACCCATACTAATAGTGCGTTCTGTGGTTCGATGCGGAATTGACAGACCTGACCTACTAGCGCAGATTTCGGGAACATTCGCGAGCATCTGCCGGCCCGAATATAAAGACTTGATAGGCCAGAGTAAAATCATTCACCCCCCAAGTTTCGCTCTGGCGCTCCCTAATTCTGATTCCCCAAGCAAAAGGATGCCCCCGAACGTTGAAGAAGGCCCCGAATCGTCGAAGCGTCTCAAGGAGGAGATTCTCTATCGGGTATGTCAATAGTTTCGCCATTACGTTGCGAAAGTAAAGCTTAATTTGGGTGTTAGCTGGATTTTGAGACATCTCGTTCCTCTAGATTTCTTGGATTAAATCTAAATTACCTGGTTTTTAACTTCAAATTGGCCTGGAACTTAAATATGGAGCGTTTCTCTATCGTTTTTAGTAATTTTTACCCATATTTAGGGTAAAAACGGCTTCAAAGATTGTAGAAACGGCTTTGAAAAGGTCGAAAATCTCCTTTTTGGTCCGAAAAATAAGTTTATCAAACCAATAGAAATTTTTAATTACACGCTGTTATGCTAAGGCGCTCTAAAATTATACCAAAAACATTATCTATTCACTTAAAAAAATTTCAAGTCTAACTTTAGCCTAGTCGTAAGCGTAAGCCCAATCCTAAGCCAATTCAACAGTATCTTTGCGTAAATAGATCTAATTTAAAAGTAGGACGATGTCTGAAACTGTCGATTAAATTATGACTACTAGAAAAATACCTCAAATATACGGTATTTCAGTTCCACTCAAAGGAAGGCCAGGAATTCACCATGGAAAAGTCGGCGGCCCACCTCTCTGGTATCGTCAAACAGATGGCAGCGGTAAGAATCAAAATACACGTATTTATTAAACTGGTTATACCATAGCAGTTTGATTGCAAAAATCCAAAAAAATGGCTAATCACGTTTTTCCAGGACCTGGGCATCGATAGTGATGAGGCGATTCGGAATATGCAGCCGATTCCACTGATCAACGTCCCCAGCGAAGCGTTCCACTACGTAAGTTGTTTTCAGATATTTTTTGGTATAACTGATGGAATTATAAATGTAACGGATAGCTGTAATTTCTGGTTTTTTAGGCGTAAGAAAGATATAAATGATTTCGCCCTTGTGACTGGAAATTCGCTGATTTTAAAAAAATGGTATATTGTACTGTTAGAGAGGGTATAAGTTATTTTTTCGGCCGCCTGCTGATTAATATTATGTGCTTTGGCCGTGTTTTTAATAGTTTTTTATTGCTAAGAAATTACAAAAATATCTCGTGAAAATTTTCCAAAATGCTTCCTATCATTTTTGGGATGCTCATTGACCTTAAAAGCGTTTTTAAAAATCAGAAAACAAATAGTCCAAAAAAACAAACAAAAAAAGTTATTAAAATCACACTATTTCAGGTAGTAAAATGGTGCGAGCAGCACAAGACGATGCCGCCGTGGGAGGAGGACAAGTGGTGGCTGAACGAGAGGGATGAGGAGATGAAGAAGTGGGAGAGGGACTATATGGAAGCATTGACTTCCGAGCAGCTCTTCGAGATTTTCAACGTAAGTTTAAAGGCACTTTTTACACTTTTTAAGGTCAAGGATACCTCGCGACTTGTATTACATTAAGGTTTTAGGCTTAGGGTTAGGTTAAGCTCAGGCTTAGGCTTAGGATTAGGCCTGTTCTTAAGCGTAGATTAAGCTTAAGTAAGTTTTTTTTTCAGGCAGCCAACTACATGGACATCAAATGCCTCCTCGACAAATGCGCCGAAACTGTTGCCTCGATGGTCAAGGGCAAGACGGTGGAGGAAATTCGCGATGTTTGGATGCTGGAGAACGACTTCACCCCGGAGGAAGAGGCCGCTATGAGGTGAGCAGGAACTTGAATACCTAGAGATCGTTGAGCCGCAGCTGTTCAGCTTCTCCGGGGTTGAAACATTAAAATACAAAAGCCATCTATAAGCCTCCCCTTTACAGAAACGAAAACCCGTGGGAGGTGATCCTCCGCGAGATGGGCGAGCTCAACGATGGTGTCGTCATCCAGCAGCCGAATAATGCTCAGGATGGTGCAGCTGCCGCTCCCGCGGCTGCTGCTCCAGATGCCGCTGCTCCAGCTGCCGCTGCTCCAGCTGCCGCTGCTCCAGCTGCCGCTGGTCCAACTCCAGCCGCTGCTGCTCACGCCGTTCGGGCTCCAGCTCCTGCTGCTAATGATCAATCCCAAGCTGCTGCTGGTGGTGCCGCTCCTGCTCCAGCAGCCGATCAACCCGGACCCTCAGCCGACGCGATGGAGCAGGGCGGTGAAGCTTCCGATCAGCCTGGAACCTCGGCCGCGGTTGCGGAAACCAAGGAAGAGACTGAGGCCAAGGATCAGGCTGCAGCTGATGCTCAACCTGACGCTCAACCCAAGGCTGATTCAGATGAGCCTGAGCCCTCCAATTCTGAAGCTTAATTTTTCCAAGATCACAAGCTCCCCCCGCTCGTTTCTAACTTTGTTATCCTGTATTACTCAACGTTAAATTTGTAAGCATCTAAACCTTCGGCTGCTCAAGCTCAAGCTCCATCTTTTGCCTAAACTTTCTGTTGTTCTATCCGGTTCTTGCTTCAATAAATTTTGTGCACAAGATCTTCCAGAAGTTATACAACAAAACCAACCAAAACACGAGAGAGAGAGAGAGAGAGAGAGAGAGTGAGAAAGAGAGAGAGTGAGGGAGAGAGATTCTCCTTTCCTGTATTAGCAGGGTCCCCGCTACCGCCCGGGACCCCTCACTCAAAAATTGGAAAGTACACGATCCCTTATTGGGGGATGGTGTTGTGGTTCAGCCTGACCGGGGAGTGCAATGGCCGGGCCTAATCACAGAATCTCCTCCTTCATGATCGAGGATCATCACTTCCAGGTAGGTTACCAACACTGGGTACTGTAGGTTGTCAATCACGATAGTGAGCCAGCCGGGGAAAGTTTGCGGGACCGGAAGTGAGATTTAGAGGTTGCATGCTAATTAGGAATTAGGGCACGGGTATGGACGTATTTAAAAGGCCGTTTGATAGAGAGCCGAACTAGGCTTGTCACAGTTTTTTCGACTCTGTTTTTTTGACGGCATCGGATAGAGCATGGTCAAATTAGTAGGGCTGCATAGTTTTGAAAGTTCAAAAAGTTTAATTTTGGGGTTTAAATGGGCCTCAAAGTTGCCGACGTTAAAAAACTATCTCGAAAACTACCTTGTCAAATTTGCTGAAAATTTGTGACAATACCTAATTTGGAGCGGGGATCATTTTTCTAATACATTTAAAAACACCAAAGTGGCCGGAACATCGGAATCTCGCGTACTCAAATGAGTTTTTCAAGAATTACTATTTAATAGGAAGTCGTCGCCACTCTAGAAATACCCTTAAAAGATGCGTAATTAAATTCTACATCGAATGATGTGTTTTTCAGCTTGGCGACAGATTCCTATTAAATCGAAAAACGATTTTCAAAGGCATCAAAAAGGAACAATGTGCGCATTTCTGAACAGAAAGACAGTGTTTCGTATCTAGAAAACAAAACAAAGCTATTGCAAAAAAGAGCAAAAAGAAATTCGATTTCTAAAAGGGGGCTGGGATTGAACTCGGGTCGTTCGCCTGGGGAGGTGGCTGCGCCCACTAGTGGCTGTCCCCAGTGCCCCCAGGCAGACCACCGCGGGTTCGATTCCCCACCTGGCCCAATTTCGCGTAGAAAAGATATTTCGTTTTGCTCTTTTTTGTATCAGGCTCGACTTCGCATCACTATCCGATTGCATGCCTCCGGTTGCGCAAAAACAAAGCAATCTATGTTTTTGAGCTGTTTTTGCTAATTTTAGAAATGCCATTTTTTCGATTTAATAGGAATCTGTCGCCAAGCTGAAAAAACACATCAATCGATGTAGAATTTAATTACGCATCTTTTAAGGGTATTTCTAGAGTGGCGACGACTTCCTATTAAATAGTAATTCTTGAAAAACTCATTTGAGTACGCGAGATTCCGATGTTCCGGCCACTTTGGTGTTTTTAAATGTATTAGAAAAATGATCCCCGCTCCAAATTAGGTATTGTCACAAATTTTCAGCAAATTTGACAAGGTAGTTTTCGAGATAGTTTTTTAAGGTCGGCAATTTTGAGGCCCATTTAAACCCCAAAATTAAACTTTTTGAACTTTCAAAACTATGCAGCCCTACTAATTTGACCATGCTCTATCCGATGCCGTCAAAAAAAACAGGGTCGAAAAAACTGTGCCAAGCCATAATGGGGCCTGTTCGGGTGGCTGGCGGACGGCCTTTTAAGACACCGGAAACGATATCAAGAAGTTGCAGGAAAAATCGATAAGGCACTCATTTTATTCCATTTTTCGATGTTGGCTTGGCGGTGTTGGGAAGATATGATGCTTTCTCTGCGACCATTATCGAAAAGTTTCGTTTGCTCTAAAAAATACGGAATTAGCGCTAAATTTTCTGTTTTAGATTCCGCGGCAATACCCTACGTTTTCCACGTTTTTTGGAGCGTAACATAGCTGCCAACCATGACTCAATATTAAAGGCCAATTTTTTAGCCAGATATTTTTGTTTGTAGATGATGCCTACCGTTCTGAACGGAAGTACAGCTTGGAGGGTTCGCTTCAGGTTTGGGCGCGAGGTATAAACGATCGTAAGGCTGTTGGATATCGAGTGCAAAAACCCGAGTAGAAACAGTAGACCGCCGCCGACTATGCAAAAAAATTTCGTGGGTTGCGTAAAGAACGATACCTATCTCCAGCCAAACCCAGTCCCCCCACCCGAAGATGATAAACATAAAGCATCCGGCTGGCGCGTAGACGAACACCAGCGTCGACAGTAATTGTGACAAGAAGACGTTGGCGAACATTCTTCGCATACGCCGTAACCTTTTCGACTCGTTGCTGACGAACGGCTTGAAGTAGCCGTCGTAGAAGACCTCCTTGATTGCGTAGGCGTAGAGACCGATCAAGCACACGATGAAAGTGCTGACGAATTTTGCAAGCAGCACGATTTCCTCGCCGGGCATCTCGAACTCGAGCGCCCGCCCGTCACCGAGCAGTTCGGGGATGCGGGACCAAAGCTGAGCAATTGGGTTAAAGGGGCTAGAAAGCTTTACAATCGGCTTATCGATCGAATTTGGTATCGAAAGTGAGTTTCTTGAAAAATGCCAAAAGTCACAAGGCCGAAAATTCCTAACATCAAAACTACATAATAACGAAGTGTCAGAAGGTCGAAATTTACATGAATAAATTCCCGCAAAAATCCCTACTAGCATGCAAAAATGCGGACATAATCAAATTTCGGCAATAAAAAATTTCGACATTGTGAAATTTTCACACTATAAAATTTCGGCACATTGAATAACGTCATACTGTAATGCAAATCAAACCGATTCTCGCGCTTTCAAATTGCCAAAAATTTGAAAAAAAAAATAAAAACTGGGTCCGACTTTTCTTAATTACGAAATGAAACAATCCACCTCTGCTTCCTTGTGATATTTGCGATTACTGTACATCTCAATGAAATAGTAGATCACCATTCCAAAATATAACAATAAGCACAATATAATCATCGCCTTGGCGATCCGGTAGAGCCAACCGCTGCTCCCCATTTCCACAGCTTCTCGTTTTGAGACGCCGTTGAAAAGAACGGATGAGCCGATATAATTGACGAGTAAGACATCAGGGACCTGAAATTTGAAGAAAACCAGAGAAAACTACCAATAAGGTACGCTCGAGTACGCGCGACTACAGATCACACCGCTACTCCGAAGCAGTCGCACTTTGCGTGCTGCGTCACTTGTTGCGTTGCGCTTCATACGAATCTCATTACGTAATCTTCAAAATTCAAAGGGTAATTGTAGCCTACCATTAGTATAATCTCCCATTCGACGCTAAAACTGGCACCAAGCTGCTTGAAAACCAGGTGGGGCGGCATGGCTATGGGCTTGGATATGACCAGCAATATTCCGTGAAATTGACATGAAATCTGAATAAAAATGTGTATCTCGATGTCCGTCTCTCTCGCTCTCTCGCACTCTAACTCTCCCACTCTCTCGCTCTCGCTCTCTCAGTCTCTCTCCCTCTCTGTCTAGCTCTCTTCCTCGCTCACTCGTTCTCTCTCCTGTCTCTCTCTCCTCTCGCTCTAATTAAAGTCTGCCTTACCAACAAATTCATCTGCAAAGCCTTATAAAATTTCGTGGTAGCTCTGTGCTCATAAAGGAGATAAAACGCCAATAAGAAACAGACAGTAGCAAAACAAAAAGCCAAATCGCACGCGATTACGATATACTTGATCTCGTCGGACGAGGGGTTGAACATGTTATGGTAGCAGACCGCAATTTATGGAGCGGTAAATCATGGCTTGGAACAGGTGCTTTTCGCAGAATGGCGCTGTATAGGTAGAGGGAGCCGACCACAACCATTAATATTGAATTGGATCACTTGAACTCCGGTATCTGCCTCAAATGCTCGTGCTTTGTAAGATGTAGAAACCGACAGAAAAAGGAAGACGTTTCCGCAGCCGAGTAGATTCCAAGGCTTTGCATGCAAGTAAGAAATTCTACTTCCGGTCCCGCAAACTTTCCCCGGCTGGCTCACTATCGTGATTGACATCCTACAGTACCCAGTTTTGGTAACCTACCTGGAAGTGATGATCCTCGATCATGAAGGAGGAGATTCTGTGATGAGGCCCGGCCATTGCACTCCCCGGTCAGGCTGAACCACAACGCCATCCCCCAATAAGGGATCGTGTACTTTCCAATTTTTGAGTGAGGGGTCCCGGGCGGTAGCGGGGACCCTGCTAACACCGAGGTGACCGGAAGCTCGTTCTATCTCTTTCACATCCGTTGTGCACTCCCTTGGGGGAATGCGTTCCAAAATTTGTTCGAAACACTCTTTTGAGGAGGTCTCGGGGTTAATGCTAACCTCAAACTTGGGTAATTAAACCGAAGCTGCGCAGGGGTGACTGCTTTTCTGTCCTATCCAGTTAGTAGCTAGCAGTCTTCCACAGGGCAACCCTCTAAAGAGCGAGCATCTGCTCGTCTGATACCTCCACGACCTAGATCCTCTGTCGTCTGACCTCTAGCTCTGTCCCAGTCTCTTACGCACCGCTAACTCTTCACCCTCCCTCCCGGCTCCTCTTTCGCCTACGACCATACCACGTTGAAAGCACGGCATCCCGTCCGATCTGCCAAGTTAAGCAACGTTGGGCTCGGTTAGTACTTGGATCGGAGACGGCTTGGGAATCCCGAGTGTCGTAGGCTTTTTGCCCTTTCTAGCGGCAGGTATATAGTATTTCATGTATTTGTAGATAAATAAAAGCTAATATTTTTTAATCTAGCCACAAAATTTTGAATTTTCAAGGGAAGCCTGGAGATTTCATTGTTCTGACAGCAGAGCCATTCACGGCTGGATCTGCCTTTTATTATGTAGGTCAAGCCACCAGTAATATTTGCCGGATATGGAGGCATGATGAATACCATTGAGCTCTTCTCTGCTCAGCTCATGATGGTCTCAGCTCGGAATCTAATTCGGATTTGAAAATTTGCACACTTATAGAGCTCGACGAGACAAATCGATTGGTGTAACTTTCAGCAGCAGATACCCCGAACTAACAAAGTTATAAGCCTTTTTAGTTTTTGCATACATTTTGCAGATTTTTCGTCATACCTTCATAAGCCCTCCCCCTTCCCCTATCACCGTGGCCTGGTGGCCTAGTGGTGTGGTACGCGGCGTCTGGGGAATCTATCAAGGGTTCGAACCCGCTCACGATTTTTATTTTTTGCTTTTTGGTCCAAAGATTCCTCTTGGCATTCCAAAGACCTTTAATGGCTTTTTAGGCATTCACCAGGAACCAGGAAGCGCTTGCAGCAAAAAATCTCACTCCTAAAAATTTTTGGAAATTTTGAGAGTTGGCAAGGTAACCATAGTAGGATCAGTTCAAAGAAAATAATTTTGATTATTTTCATGCAGCTTGGGATACGATAAAGTGTTGATAAGCAGATTGCCAGCCTGCTGAAAATTTCCCCAAAATTTTTTGAGGAGGCATGAGCACAGGCAATCACAATCTTTTTGATACGCACTGTAGGTCAAGCCACCAGTAATATTTGCCGGATATGGAGGCATGATGAATACCATTGAGCTCTTGGTTCTACGCACCGCTTTCGGCCTGAAATGTGCATTGAAAAGGCGCTTTAGCTCGGAGCGTGATGCATAAACGATTGTCGTCTGGCTGTTGGCGATGGAATGGAAGATGCTGATGGATGATTTTAAAATCAACAATTTATTCCAAAACAATCTCCTCCTCAATCGGGCCTTCCGTGGAGTGCCTCCTCCTTTCTTGCTGCAATACTAACCGATAGTAGGCCCCCTTCATCGCGATAAGCTCTTGGTGATTGCCTAGAAATGGTTGTTTATCTTCCGAGACCTTTAACATAATGATTATACCCAAATCTGATCGTTCTGACTAACCTTGTTCAACAATCTCCCCAGCCCTCATCACCACAATTTTGTGGGCATTTCGGATCGTGCTCAGCCGATGGGCTATTACCAGACAGGTACGGCCCTCAGAGGCAGCGTCAAGCGCTTCTTGTACTACCTAGAGAAGGTGTTATTTTGATTGAATTTGAATATACCAATTGAATATACCAATTAAAGGCAAAAATATATAGATTGTTTACCGATTTAGATACCTTTTCACTTTCCGTATCCAATGCGCTGGTCGCTTCATCGAGGATAAGAATTTTTGGGTTTCGGACGAGTGCTCTGGCAATGGCAACGCGTTGTTTTTGTCCTAAGAGAGGGATTAAATGGAGCGAGTGCGAGCGAGAGAGAGAGAGAGAGAGAGAGAGAGAGAGAGAGGGAGAGAGAGAAAGAGAGAGAGACATCCCCCAAGTACCTCCTGAAAGTTGCGTCCCTTTATCTCCGACGGTAGTATCGTATCCAAGCGGCAGCCCAGCGATGAAGCTGTGAATATTGGCTTTCTTGGCAGCCTCCACCGCATCGCTTTCAGTTACCGTAGCCGCGTCCAGGCCGTAGATAATATTGTTCTGAAAAAAAAATAGGTTTAGGCGAAAGAATTAGCAACAAAGGACCAGTTAACAGCTTACCTTAATCGAATCGTCAAACAGTATCGGCTCTTGTGCGACGACGGCCATTTGACCTCTAACGTCTGCCGCTCCCATGGTTCGAATGTCTTGACCGTCGATTTTCTGGAATGAGAATTGCCAGAATTAACCCTATCTAAAATCTAAAAATTTTCAATTTTGGGTCTAAATCCAAAGATTAAAACGGGCAAATTGCATTGCATAAGCAGAAATGTAATCTTCATTCATCATTTCATCTGAAGCTCACCACAGCCCCATCAGCAACGTCATAGAATCGTTGCAACAACCCAACTAGCGTCGATTTTCCGCATCCTGAGGGCCCGACGACGGCCACGGTCTGACCGGGTTCGATGGTGAAGCTGACGCCTAGAATTTTAGATTTTTGACGTGTACGATGACTATGATAGGTTTGATAAACTCATTTTTTATCACGAAAGCCTTGCTCAATTACCTACCTTTCAAAACCTCCACATCGCTCCTTTCCGGATATGCAAAGCGTAGGTTTTCGAACTCGACTTTTCCACTGGTGGACTGAAAACAAGGTTTTAAAGCGGCTGTATAGTAAGACTTTGAATACTTTGGTTTTGTATTATCAAAGTACATTTTTGCTACAACTTACCCTAAACCCTATCCGCCTCATGCCGTCTATCGCAGTTTCCTGCTTCAGCATCTTGAAAAGCAGCCCAGCTGAATATTTGGCTTTCTTGTAGTCTGGGAAATACATGAAGCCCTGGCCGACGGCGTATGAGGCGTATTGGAGGCAGAATTGGGCCCTAAAAGGAATCGTTTAAGCATTGCACTACGATGTGGTACGTTGCTGCACGTCGCACTGCGTACGCTGCAATATAATACGCCTAACTTGTACCCCACTTAAGTTAGGCCGCGCTTATTCAAGCAACGGTACGCTGTGGTAGGCCAGGTTAGGTTTTTGCCGCTACTTTGCCTTACTTCGTGACATTTACCGCTACGCGGTACTACGTGACGCCACCACGCATGCGGCGCTCCACAAGGCTACTCTACGTCATGCTAGACTATGCTACAGAACACACCACTACGTTGTGCAGCCTCACCTCCAGGCATCAAATGGGTTCACTATCATATTCCTGGCGATAAGCCACGCCCCAAATCGGTATTGCATAGCGTCGGTGAGGGGTTGCATTCCGGTGGAAACTGCGGACATTAGGCCTTGGACGATGGCTTTTCGCTTGTTGGTCTGAAATAAGAAACTGACTAATTTTCTCTCTCTCTCTCTCGCGCTCTCGCGCTCTCGCGCTCACTCTCTCTCTCTCTACTTCTCTTTCTATCTCTCACTCTATCTATCTCTGTCTTTCATTTTTCTCTGTCCTTTGCCTCTCTTTCGCTCTCTCCCTCCCTCTCGCTCTCTCTCCCTCCCTCTCTCTCTCTCTCTCTCTCTCTCTCTCTCTCTTCCAGTCAGTATCATGACAGCATACCTTAAATGGCCTCTCGATCAAAGCACAATATTTCGAATGCATAACGCCTTGTAGAGACAGGGCATGGACAGTACGAATCGATTCTATCGACTCCATTGCTACCTACAAATTATCATTATTGAATTTTGTAGCGTTTTTGATCAAAAATATAAAATCTACTTACCTTTCCACTAGCCTCCATCAGCCTCATATCTTCTACCGTATCCTTGCCAAAGCTCTTCTCCCAGAAGTACTCGGCGATCGTGATGATCGGGATGATGGTAAGCACTGGAAATACGTCCGTTTCGTCAAGGTATTTGCTAGAGAAATAGCGCTCCCCAAAGGATTTCTGCTAGCTCGCCCTTGCTAAAAATTAGCGGACTCTGTCATTTATTGTAGTTATTCCGGCGTTTTTGAGCTCTGAACTGCTCGAAATCGTTGGATCCAGCCAACTTCGATTTCTTCAAGGCCAGCTCGTGCTCGACTTACTGAGCAACGACATGTGCCAGGAGAAGTAGAAAGCTCCGGCAAGTCCGGCCAGCAGGGCGACAATACCTCGCAGAAGTTGCCCGAGCTTCAGGTCGACGGCCTGAAGGAGTTCAGAATTTTTGGAGTTTTAAGCCCAAGTCTGGTTGGTGCTTTCGTACGCATTACAAAGGAAAATACAAAATCTATACATCTTAAAACTCTATTTACCTGTTTGATATTCGGGGCATCAGTCGCCAATCGGGTTGAGATTTTCCCAGCCGAATGTTTCGGTGAATCGAAATAGGCGGCGGATTGGCTGAGCACGTTTCGAAAAGTCTAAAAAATCGCTGTATCAAAAAATTAATCATATACTAAAGACAATATTAATATAATTTTTTTTTTGACCCACCAAGCTTCTCAACCGCTCCGTCACACGACTCGCCACGACGCCGAAGCCGATTGCCTAAAGTAGATTGCAGGTTCTAGCTAATTTAAGGCTAGCATCCCTATGAAAATCGACGCTAAAAGCTATCGAAAAAGAGGCTACAATTAAATTACCGTACCCCTAACGACGGGAACGTTAGGTCCAACACCATCATCAGCAAAAATGCCAGGGCAGCCATATGACCACGATATCGCATAAGTTCTTGGTCGGGCTCGGAGAAGATCTAAAAATAATTTTATCAACTCTATCCCTTTATCTCTCTCTCTGTCTCTCTCTCTCTCTCTCTCTCTCTCTCTCTCTCTCTCTCTCTCTCTTTATCTCTTTCACTCTCTCTCTCTCTCTCTCTCTCCCTCTCTCTCTCTCTCTCTCTTACCTCAAAAGCCTTGGTGTAGAAGAGCCCATAAAGTGGATATAGGGTTCCCTAAAATTAATAATGCGAAAAGTACGGAAGAAAAACACCTCCAAGCTCGCACAAATGACCCCCATCAAGAAAAACTTCATCTCGGGCCCAATATATTTCATGATTTTCCATAAGCCGACGGTTTCGACGCCTTCTTCCTCGATTTCTAAAGAAAATGGCGGTTTTTCGTTTATGAAAACCGTGTTAATGACTAGATTTAGGCAATGTGTATAGTCATTAACTTTTAATTCCGGTCTCTACCTCTTTTCAACCGATCCATCTCCGACTCGTGCTCATCGATGGTATCCAAATTCCTGTGCGCCGGGTCGTTGTCATCTACAGAATCGCTTCCAGTCGAAAATCGACTGCTTCGCTGGCGTAGATAGTTGGTCTTGGTGGCTGAAAATAGAGGTGGATTTGCTGTCACTATCCCTTTTAACGTCATGTTATACCTAGGCTGTGATACCCAGGCCCTCTGCTGCACTTACGCGTGGTTTCGACATCAGCGAAAACTTGCGCGTTGACCAGGTCGAAGTAATGTCCTCTAGCTTCCATCAGTTCACTGTGCCGCCCGGTTTCAACAACTGAAAGTACGATTTTTACTACCGTACATAGGAGCTTTCGTACTCTCTCCATGTCGAATCACCACAATTTTGTCGGCATTTCGAATCGTGGATAGCCGATGTGCGATCACAATTGTGGTGCGACCGCGGCTCGCCTAAAAATCAAATTTCACGTTTCTCAAGCAAGTGGATCAAATAACCTCTACTAGCCTGCCTCGCTTGAGGTCGAGAAAAATCGATTTTAGCCTATAGAATTTCCGCTTTTTACTCACATTTTCCAGGGCCTGCTGCACGACAGTCTCGCTCTCCGCGTCAAGAGCACTGGTGGCTTCATCGAGGAGCAAAATTTTCGGGTCCCTCAGCAGGGCTCGGGCTATGGCGATCCTCTGCTTTTGGCCACCAGACATTTGTGTACCACGGTCTCCAACGAGCGTCTTCAGGCCCTAAAGATGCCGATGAATCTCAGGATTTTTGATCAGATTATGGTCGGTCGAGGTAATGTGTCTTGAACTCCACTACGCTACGCCACGCCGCGCCAAGCTGTGGCAGATGAAACTCTGTGTGAAACTCTGCTACACGAGAGATACATAATTGCTAAAGTACGCTTTGCGCTGTTTTACTTCAGTAGCTTCACTAGCTGTGTTCTACTTCAATACAGTTCTACCAAAACACACGTCGACGCAATCAGCTTGATTCCAGATTCACGGACGACAAATGATGCTACGCTACGATACGCTATGACTTCGCTACGATTTTGGAAAGTGACCCTAGGTTTCTGTTAAATGACGTTACACTCAAGTTAATATTATTCATTGCGCTATGCCGCTACGCGAGAGTACGCTACGGTCCGCTAAGCTACGTTTCGTTATGGCCCCTTTGGATGCTACTACGCTACAGAACACTGAACGATATCTAATGATCTTCACACGTCAGACCGAAAACGCCAAAGTTAATGAGTGTAACCTACCTCCGGAAACTCGTTAATGAACCCGAGTGCATTCGCCTTTTTGAGTGCCGAGTTGATGTCCTTGTCGGTGGCGTTGGGGTTGCCGAAGAGGAGGTTCTAAATCCAATTTGTTCGTCAACTTTTTGGCAGAGCCATACCTCCAGGATAGTGTTGTTGAACAGCACCGGTTCCTGACTAACGACACCCACAATCTTGCGTAAATAGTCAATGTCGTAGTCTTCTACCGGGATACCATCGATGGTCAGCTGTAAATACAATACGTTTTTACGACCAGGTTGGAAAGTAATTTGCTATATATAACATGATTATCTTAATGGAGCTGAAAACTATCAAAATCGATCCCTTTTCGTTCTGTCTAGATCTAGCCACAAAAAGGTCGGTTTTGGATTCCCAGTCGATTTAAGGTAAAATTCAGGCACACCTGTCCCAATTCCAGTTGGTAATACCGTAGTAGCAGCTGGACAATTGTCGATTTTCCGGATCCGGAAGATCCGACCAATGCCACGGTCTGGCCTGGGTCGCAATCGAAGGAAATGCCCTAAAATCACACCTTACATGACATGACTTTAATAGCAAGCAAATGCATCCGTGTGTAGAGCGTTAATGAAAAAGTGATACCTTGAGAATTGGTACGTCGGGTCGGCTTGGGTAGGTGAAGTGGACATTTTTGACTGCTACCTTTCCCAAGATGAAGGACGGCTTCTCGTTGCCTTCAGGGGTTTTGACCTGGAAAACGAGGCTGGTGCAAGAGAAAGAGAAAGAGAGAGAGGGAAAGAGAGAGAGAGAGAGAGAGAGAGAGAGAGAGAGAGAGAAAGAGAAAGAGAGCGAAAAACACCAGAAATACCTACCGAATCAATAATCTCCATAATTCCTCCTGCTTGCCCGAGCGCATTAATAACAGTCGCGATCTCAGGGATCACATATCCAAGTGAATACGACCCGAATTTGACGGTCATTAGGACCTGAATTCAGTAAATTACCGGATTTTATAGTAATACACACCGTAACCATGGTTTGTGGGCTCAAAAATCCCCAATAGACGTAGTCGGTTCCGACGTAAAACGCGACGCAATACATTATGTCAAAACAGGAGAAGGATATTGATGATAGGGCACCGATCATTACTAAAAATTTAAGCTCATCTGTAGAAACATCTGTTTCTAATATTCTCGCTCATGCTCTCTCGTTCTCGCTCTTCATCTTCCCTTCTCTCTCTCACTCTCTCTCACTCTCTCTCTCTCTCTCTCTCTCACTTACCAGCTCTCTTGATCTCAACCCGAGACCCGTCTGCCAGATTTTTCTCGAATTTCTGGCACTCGTGCTCCTGGCCGTTGAAGGAGAGTACGGTACGAATTGAGCTTAGGGCCTAAACTGATCTGGTATATTTGGTAATTATACAACACTTTCACGTATAAAAAGTCAAAAATATTTTTACCTCTTCAGCCACTTTTCCGGCTTTCGAATACCATTTGACTGATAGCGCGGTGGCATCGGTGGCTAGCTAAAAATTTAACTTAATTTTTAATCCTATCCTATAAGCGAGAAAAGTATGTCTGTTTTCTGTGCAGCCGATTTCTCGGCCGTCAGGCCGAATTTTGCGCTGATTTTTGGCATGGAGGTGGAGAAACACATTCTCTTTATAGGCATTTTTTTGTTTTTCGAAATTCCCTCATTTAAGGATTTTACAAGCAAAATAGTGGAAAACCCTTAACATTCGGCCAAAAAAAGGTTTGTTCAGAGGATATCTCGCGAACCAAAAGGAATTAGGCGCTGATTGTTGGAGGGCAGATTGAAAATAGAATTCTCCCGATATATAATTTTGCGTTTTTTCAGACTTTGTAAAATAAAATTTTTATGTGCGTTTTTCTAAAAAGTCCTTAACAAAGTGGGCTGCGCGCCGTGGTGTTCTGTCCATAACTCGATGCCCATTTGGAATTTCGGGCTGGAATTTGGACAAATTATGTATTCGATAGTGGGGATCACGCGCATCTTATTATCGTTAGAAATTTTCAGCAGATTCAGACTCAAAGATCGAGTTGTGTAAAGTGACCAGGAGGCCACCCGCCCGGGATCATTGGGGCGCCCTTTTCTTTTGCCACCCCTCCCCCGCAGCCTTCCCCAGAAAGAAGAGGCCTTTCAGGACACCCCTTCCCATCGTCTCTGTGGTGTAGTGGGTTGGCGCCCGGTCTACCACACGTATGGTCAGGAGTTCGGGTCCTGGGAGAATCCAACCTTTTGCTTTTTGGTAGTTTAGCAACAAAACGTATTTCTAGGCTCCCGATGTGCGAGGTTTAGGCCTGACCTTCGCTCTAGCGCCGCAGGCCCAAGAAAAGGGGCTTGAACCAGGCTCTTGCGCCGCAGGCCAACGATGGGTCCTTGGCCCAGGCTCTCGCGCCGCAGGCCAAGCCTGGGGGGAAAACCAGTAACTAGCGCCTCAGACCTAATTATCCTAGCGCACCGCTGTCTCTGACGCCGCAGTCCAAAGAATGGATCCTTGACTCAGGTACCTGCACCGCAGACCCAAAAAAAGAAGGTATTCAAATTCATGGTTTCTGGACGGGGTCCAGTGGAAAAGAGCCGCGAAGCGGTCTTTTTCCACTGGTATTCGGATATTCCAAGGCCTGTTGAAATGTTTAATCTGGAAAATTCCCTTTAAAGCTACCATGCTGACCTTATTAAACATGAACCCAGCAGTTGCAACCACTGGAGTTAGCGTCATCATCACCAGGGTCAACCGCCAGTCGTAGTAAAACCCTAGATACCTTTAAAATGTTAACGGTAAATGAGCTACCGATTCCAAAGGCCGCAAAGCACTGTGTGCCATAGTAGAAGACGTTCGCAAACTTCTCGCCAAAGCCCTCTTTGAGGCGCTCCTGGGCGCTGAAAAACGTCGGTGCATTAATAACCATGTTTTTTAAAGGCTGACAAGCTAGCAGAGTTCCTGACGGAACCCATGCTCCTTTCACAGTCATCACGATCTCAAAGTTATAAGGGCATTCATGACTCAAGCCAGAAAAAGCTCGCAAATCTCAAAAAGCAGAATTTTTCAGAAAGCTGGAGATGATTTTCTTTGAAAGACAAAGCAGGCAAGCTAGCAGAGTTAATTGGTTAAGAAAAGAAAATTTCATGTTTTTAAGAAAGTTGAAAATTACAAACACTCACTCAAACATCTTTGTACACAACGTCCCTGCGGTATTTTTGTCGAACCACTCGATCTCGTGGCT